TGATTGATAGTAGAGTTACAAGTAGAGAGCGTAACAGGAGTTGAATGGGAAAAGCCAGACTATAAAAGGGGGACTACATAGGTTTGAGGAACTTCCTGCAGGCGGTTCAGTGGGACAGAGAACTGGCAGAATAGTCGGTAAACGAAATGATGGAATATGTAACAACAAAATGCTAGGAGGCAGAGGGCAACAGAAATAATGGGAAGTGCACTAGAGAATGGAAAAAGTACAGAAGGCAAAGAACACAGGAAAATAAGGAGATTAGTCGAAGAGCCAGGAACAAGTATGCACAGGTAAGGAGGGAGGCCCAGGGACAGTATGAAAATAACATAGCATTGAAAGTCAAGTCTGACCCGAAACTGCTGTATAGCCACATCAGGAGGAAGACAACAGCCGAAGACCAGGTGATCAGGCTGAGGAAAGTAGGTGGGAAACTCACAAGAAATGATCATGAGGTATGTGAGGAGCTCAACATGAGATTTAAGGAAGTATTTACAGTAGAGACAGGAAGGACTCTGGGAAGACAGCACAGAGGGAGAACACCAACAGGGAATATAGCATCAAGTGTTGGATGGCATACAAACAACGGAGGAGGAGATGCAGAAGTTGCTAAGTGACCTTGATACCTCAAACGCGATGAGCCCGGACATCTCCTCGTGGGTCCTTAAACAAGGAGCAGAGAAGCTGTGCATTCCACTAACCACAATCTTCAATACATCCCTTGAAACTGGGCAACTACCTGAGGTATGGAAGACGGCAAATGTAGTCCCAATTTTTAAGAAAGGAGACAGAAAAGAGGCACTAAACTACAGACCAGTGTCTTTGACGTGTATAGTATGCAAAGTCATGGAGAAGATTATCAGGAGGAGAGGAGTGGAGCACCTGGAACGGAACAAGATTATAAAGGACAGCCAGCACGGATTCATGGAAGGAAAATGCTGTGTCACAAACCTTCTGGAGTTCTATAACAAGGTAACAGAAGTAAGACACGAGAGAGAGGGGTGGGTTGATTGCATTTTCCTGGGCTGGTTTTCCTGCAAGTTCTCTGTCCCAATGGACCTCCCGCAGGAAGTTCTTCAACCCTATGTAGTCCCCTCTTTTATAGTCAGGCTTTTCCCATTCAACTCCTGCTATTCTCTCCACTTGCAGCTCTACTATGTATTCAAAGCACAGAACCACGTGGTCGCTAGCTCCTAGGGGACTCTCATACTTGATGTCCTCAATGTCTGAGCTGCCCAGGGTGAACACAAGGTCCAATCTTGCTGGTTCATCCTCCCCTCTCACTCTGATAGTGTCCTTAACATGTTGGTGCATGAGGTTTTCCAGCACGACGTCCAACATCCTGGCTCTCCATGTTTCGGGACCCCCATGTGGCTCCAGGTTTTCCCAGTCAATCTCCCTGTGGTTGAAATCCCCCATAACCAGCAACTTTGCTCTGCTCGAGAGAGCTCTTCTTGCCACCTCAGCAAGTGTGTCCACCATTGCTCTGTTGCTCTCTTCATATTCCTCTCTTGGCCTCCTGCAGTTCTGTGGTGGATTATACATCACTGCAATGACCACTTTGTGTTCCCCAGACTGAAGTGTACCTACTATGTGCTCTTTCTCCGTCTCATCTATGCTCATTTCTCGAATTTCCATCTGTTTTTTACGAGAAGAGCAACCCCACCTCCCCCTCTGCCCCTTCTGTCTTTCCTCATGATCTGGTATCCTGGTGGGAAGATTGCATCTGTTATTGTCTCTGAGTTTTGTTTCTCTAACTGCTATGATGTCTGGGGACTTCTCATTGATTCTTTCTTGCCATTCCTCATGTTTATTCGTTAATCCATCTGCATTTGTGTACCAAACCTTCAACTTCTGTTTTAATACTGTAACTGTGGTGCGGGGGGTGGGAACAGAGGGATCGGTGTGTGATGGTTGGTTTGGATTGTTCAGTTGCCTTGGGGGTGTCGTGGCTGGAGTCCTTCTGCAGGTGTTTCTGGGGGGTGTGCTTGTCCTTCCATTTGATCCTGGGTTATTCTGCTCTCCTTTTTCATTTCCTCCCATTTCTCCTTTCGTTTTTGAACTCTCTCTTTCATCGTCTTCCTCTCGTCCTGTGTTCTGCTCTCGATCGAGGTACACTCTCCGGAACTCCTGCTTGCCTCTCAGCTGTGCTTTCTCCTGCAGGATCATGGTTCGGGTTGATTCTGCCTTGAAAATTACTTTGAGAGGCCGATTCCTTTTCTTTGTGAACCACCCGATTCTCCGAAAATTTGCCACCTGTTTTGTGTGTTGTACTCACCTAGTTGTACTCACCTAGTTGAGGTTGCGGGGGTCGAGTCCGAGCTCCTGGCCCCGCCTCTTCACTGATCGCTACTAGGTCACTCTTCCTGAGCCGTGAGCTTTATCATACCTCTGCTTAAAGCTATGTATGGATCCTGCCTCCACTACATCGCTTCCCAAACTATTCCACTTACTGACTATTCTGTGGCTGAAGAAATACTTCCTAACATCCCTGTGATTCATCTGTGTCTTCAGCTTCCAACTGTGTCCCCTTGTTACTGTGTCCAATCTCTGGAACATCCTGTCTTTGTCCTGTCTTGTTGTGTGATTGATTTGTGTGCGTGGTGCTTTGTGGTGTGGTGTGTGCTTTGTGTGTGTGTGTGTGTGTGTGTTGTGAGTGCGTGTGTGTGTGTTTGAGTGTGTGTGCTTCTGTGCCTGTGTTGTACTCACCTAGTTGTGGTTGCAGGGGTCGAGTCACAGCTCCTGGCCCCGCCTTTTCACTGCCCGCTACTGGGTCACTCTTCCTGCTCCATGAGATTTACCATACCTCTTCTTAAAGCTATGAATGGATCTTGCCTCCGCTACATCGCTTCCCAAACTATTCCACTTCCTGACTATTCTGTGCTGAAGAAATACTTCCTAACGTCTCTGTGATTCATCTCAGTCTTCAACTTCCAACTGTGACCCTTTGTTGCTGTGTCCCATCTCTGGAACATCCTGTATTTGTCCACCTTGTCTATTCCTCTCAGTATTTTATAGGTCGTTATCATGTCCCCCCTATCTCTTCTGTCCTCTAGTGTTGTCAGGTAGATTTCCTTTAACCTTTCCTCGCAGGACAACCCCCTTTGCTCCGGGACTAGTCTTGTTGCAAACCTTGCACATTCTCTAGTTTCACTACATCCTTGGCTAGGTGTGGGTTCTAAACTGGTGCTGCATACTCCAATATGGGCCTAACGCACACAGTGCACAGGGTCCTGAACGATTCCTTATTAAGATATCGGAAAACTGTTCTTAGGTTTGCTAGGCGCCCATATGCTGCAGCAGTTATTTGATTGATGTGTGCCTCAGGAGATGTGCCTGGTGTTACACTCACCCCAAGGTATTTTTCCTTGAGTGAGGTTTGTAGACTCTGCCCCCCCTCCTAGACTGTGCTCCGTCTGCGGTCTTCTTTGCCCTTTCCCAATCTTCATGACTTTGCATTTGATGAGGTTGAACTCCAGGAGCCAGTTGCTGGACCAGGCCTGTATCCTGTCCAGATCCCTTTGTAGTTCTGCCTGGTCCTCGTCCGATTGAATTCTTCTCATCAACTTCACATCATCTGCAAACAGGGACACTTCGGAGTCTACTCCTTCCGTCATGTCGTTCACAATTACCAGAAACAGCACCGGTCCCAGGACTGACCCCTGTGGAACTCCACTCGTCACAGGCGCCCGCTCTGACACCTCACCACGTACCATGACTCGCTGTTGTCTTCCTGACAGGTATTCCCTGATCCATTGCAGTGCCTTCCCTGTTATCCCTGCCTGGTCCTCCAGCTTTTTCACTAATCTCTTGTGTGGAACTGCGTCAAACCCCTTCTTACAGTCCAAGAAAATGCAATTTACCCACCCCTCTCTCTCTTGTCTTACTGCTGTCACCCTGTCATAGGACTCCAGTAGGTTTGTGACAAGATTTCCCATTCCTGAAACCGTGTTGGCTGTCGTTGATAAGCTCATTCATTTCTGGATGTTCCACCACTCTGTGTGTGTGTGTGTGTGTGTGTGTGTGTGTGTGTGTGTGTGTGTGTGTGTGTTTGAGCACTTTGTAGTTACATATTACCAGTAGTTTAATCAGTTCATAAAAACATTTATGTGCTTCTTAGCTCACAGTTATGGCAGGTCGTTGTCTACAGTGAGGATAAAATATTTTTCCTTTATTGTTTTCCGTAACCTTCATCGATATTAACTGCAGTTATTTTGTTATGGGTTCTGGGCCTCAGCGTGAGCGCGCACCAGGCGCAGGAGCGCGCACCAGGCGCAGGAGCGCGCACCAGGCGCAGGAGCGCGCACCAGGCGCAGGAGCGCGCACCAGGCGCAAGAGAGTGCGCACCAGGCGCAGGAGCGCGCACCAGGCGCAGGAGCGCGCACCAGGCGCAGGAGCGCGCACCAGGCGCAGGAGCGCGCACCAGGCGCAGGAGCGCGCACCAGGCGCAGGAGCGCGCACCAGGCGCAGGAGCGTGCACCAGGCGCAGGAGCGCGCACCAGGCGCAGGAGCGCGCACCAGGCGCAGGAGCGCGCACCAGGCGCAGGGAGCGCGCACCAGGCGCAGGAGCGGCACCAGGCGCAGGAGCGCGCACCAGGTGCAGGAGCGCGCACCAGGCGCAGGAGCGCGCACCAGGCGCAGGGTTGGTGTGCACGACAGTTTTCCAATAAGGAAGTTGATTTTTCTTGTTCTTGCATTGTTTATGTCTTCCTTTTAAAGTTTACAATTCACTAAGCTGGTGACTGGAGCAACAGGCAGACAAAAGCGTACAAAAATATATGCGGCTGAGAAAGACTTCAATTTCGATAAAGTTTCGCTCAGGAGTGAGCTTTACAAATTCTGACTTAGTGACTCTCAGTTTAAACTTTATTAGACTTGATAAAGCTCCTCTTACTCTTCACTTAATCTTTAACTTCAGTTCGACAAATCCAGTCACTAGCAATTATTATTGTGTACAGTCTCCTTTTGCACCTTGAACAAGAGCTTTTATTCTCTTACAGAGGAAACAGCATCAACATCAGCAACAGAAGCAGCAACAACAGCATCAGCAGCAACAGCAGTAGCAACAGCAGCAACAGCAGTATCAGCAGCAACAACAACTTTGGTGACGATGAAAGTTAGCGGTGTGTACCCACTGCAGCTGCTGACTGCGCTGGTGACGGCGAAGGTGACGCTGCTGGTGACGGCAGACAACAACACAGTGTCCAGCTCCCCGCCTCTCAGTACTCAACTCAGCGGTACACAAGAACACCCACACACTCACCTTACCACGGTGAGTACGCCCACACATACATCTCACCACGGTGAGTACACCCAGACGCTCATCTCACTACGGTGAGCACACCCACACCCACCTTACCACGGTGAATACACCCACATACTTACCTCACCACGGTGAGTACATCCACACATTCATCTCACTACGGTGAGTACACCCAGACACTCATCTCACTACTGTGAGTACGCCCACACACTCGCCTTACCACGGTGAATACACCCACACACTCACCTCACCACGGTGAGTACACCCACACACTCAACTCACCATACACTCACTCACACACACACACATTCACCACAGTGCGTAGAGTTACACACACATTCACCACAGTGCGTAGAGTTACACACACACACAGTGAGTATATTTATAAACTCACAACAGTGAGTACTATACATGTCGAAAGCAAAACAGAATTTATTGTAACAGTCATCTTTCATTCTGTCTCCTCATATCTGCTCATGAACCTCTACTTTCACAACACAGCGCTAGCATGAAACACCACACAAAACACTGGGACGAAATCTAGAGGAACAGGCAGGAATAACAGTGAAGACACTTCGACAGATCAAACATACTTGACAGGGAAAGAATAAGTGATGTGTAACATGACCGGTACTATTTCTTGCAGACGTGAATGACATGACGGAAGGGAAAGTGTCAGAAGTACCCCTGTCCACAAGTGATGTGAAACTAATGAGGAGAATACAAGCAGAAAAGAACCAGGAAAGCCTACAAATAGATATGGACAGGCTGCAAGTCTAGTCTAACAAGTAGCTACTAGAATTTAACCCTAGTAAGTGCAAAGTTATGAAGTTTGGGGATGGGGTAAGAAGATCGCAGACGAAGTACAAGTTGGGGGGGGGGGGTTGTAAAGGCTCCAAAACTCATTCAAGGAGGACCTTTGGGCGTGTGTTGTACCTAGCATATCGCTTGAAGCGTACATAAGCTGAATAACTGCTGCAGCAAATGTGCGTCTGGCAAATCTAAGACTAGCTTTCAGAAATCTTAGTAAGGAGTCATTCAGGACACTGTATACTGTGTATGTCAGGCCCATATTGGAATATGCAGCACCAATATGGAACCCACATCTGGTCAGTCATGTCAAGAAATTGGAGGAAGTGCAGAGGTTTGCCACAAGATTAGACCTGGTGCTAAGGGGTATGTCCTATGAGATGTTAAGGGAACTCAACCTAGTGACACTAGAAGAAATAAGAACTAGGGGTGATATGATAACAACGTATAAAATACTGAGAACTGACAGGGTGGACAGAGCCAGACTGTTTGAGAGACTGGGAAAAAAGAACACGAGGACACAACTGGAAGCTGAAAACACGGATGAGTCACAGAATGTTAAGATGTATTTCTTCAGAATAAGTGTAGTCAGAAAGTGGAACGACCTGGAGGATGATGTGATAGAGTCAGAATCCATAAATAGCTTTAAGAAGAGGTACAATAAGGCTCTCGAAGCCAAGAGAAAGTGAACCTAGCAGCGACCAGCGACGAAGCGGGTCCAGGAGCTGAGATTCGACCCCTGAAACTACATATAGGTGAGTACACACACCACCACTAACATCAATCCCCCTTATTTCCAGATCCTCCATCTTCCCCTTCACTACCTACAACCATATCCTTAACTCGTCACTTAACATTGATGTACGCACCATCCCCGCTTCTGCATTGCGTACTCTTGTCACACAAGCAGAAAGATTTTCCAACACAAATTAGTAAATGGTATGGAAAAAATGCTCAGCTTGGCACATAAATGCAGATGGATTATCAAACATGTGTTGTGAGCTGAAAGAATGAATAGCAGAGGCAACCCCAGACACTGTAGCCATTACAAAGACGAAACTAAATTACATGATATCAGATGTTATGTTCCCAGCAGGATATCAAGTTATAAGGAAATAAAGGAAACAAGGGAGGCAGAGGAGTGGTAATGCAAATAAAAATCAGTGGAGAGTTGAGGAAATGAGAGGGATAAACAAACATAAGGCAGTCGAGTTCATGATGGGCACATTTAAGACTGGGGGACCCAAAGTAGTAATTGCATTGATATTCAACCCCCCCCCTAACAGTAGGAGACCGTAACAGGGATAAAATACAATAAACACTGGTCGACACCATAGCAGACGCAGCTAAGAGAGAGCACAGAGCTCTGAAGCAAAGTTGCATATCATGTCTGCTTTCAGCCACAAAGAAATAAACTGAGAGAACCGGCACCCACATGAGGAACCAGAAGTGTAGAGGGATATGACTCACGAAATCGTAATGACACGATTGCAAACAAACCATACCACGGTCTGGAGTTTTGAGACTCTGACCGCGGGTTCAAACCCCACCCGTGGTATGGTTTGTGTGGAGGGATAAGTTGAAGGAGGTGGTTAGGGGAAACTTTGTGTCAATATGTCAAGGACATGATAAAAGGGAGAGGGGGTTAGCCAGGAAGATTGAACCTAGTATTCACCTCTAGTACATCCGAATTCTCTCTACAACACGTTAATGAGAAGCTCATAAATATATCTATCTGTATGACTGCCAATAAATTCACTCTTAACATTGTCACTACCTTCTACATGATGTCTGTGAACAGAGCTACAAATATTCAACTTAATTAAATGTTATGATTCAATGTTTTCCAGTTGCAAGACAAAAATGAAAGAAATTTTTTAGGTTTTCTCCTTGACAGCAACTTGAAATTCAACACCCATTTTTAGAAGACAACAAAAATAGTATCCAAATCATTTGGCATCGTTTCTAAGATACGTTACTATATACATCAAACAGCACCACTTACATTATACTACTCTCTTATCTACCTCTACCTCACCTATGATATTTAAGTCTGGTGATCCACTACAGCAAATCACCTAAATCCAACAATAACTCAACAAAAAAAGGCTGTACAAATGATCACTCAATCTAGTGCCAGACAAAACTTCTCTACTCTTAATATACTTAATATACATAAAATTCACTCATACTACTGTGCATACTACATATATAGGAGAATTAATTCCAATAGAAATCCTGCCCTGAACCTCTTTCTTGTTAGTTGCAACACAACTTATAGGCATAACACTAGACACGGAAATCTCTATGATATTCCACGTGTCCGACTCAACCTGCGTAAAAGAACCTAAAATCTGGAAGTCTTTGCTTGAAGATTCCAGAGGTTCCCTCTCTGCCAACCACTTTAAAGAAGCGACTGTTAAAAGACACTTGACTTTTATGTGATCATGAAAACAGTTTATTATGCTAAACAAATTCTGAAACTTGTGTCTCATCCACTGTTGTCCCTGTTCTTGTTCTTGTTCCATCCTTCCCTCAACTCTTGTTCATTACTATTAAGGCATTTTTTGTCTTAAGTCATCCTTTATGTATATCTAATTAGAATTTTTTAATAGATTACAGAAGACCTTCAATATAGTATAAACTAAGAATTCTTATTCTCATGTACTATGTGTCTCATCATCTAGTTATGCGTTGCATAACAAGAGGCTTTCTGTAAATTAGTTCATATATGCCAATTACCATAGCTCTATACTGTATAGTACTCCATTTTATAGAAATAAAGTTGTTTACTTAGGCGACCATGTAGTAATAAACGTTGAGTATCTCGTGGTATTAAACGTAGAGCAAGGAACAGCAGGTGGAGGACGTGTAAATTCAGATTTCAGAAGAGAGAACTTTGAAGGGATGAGAGAATACCTGAATGTAATGCAGGAGGAAAGGGAGCTAGGAGGAAAGGGAGCTGGGAGGAAAGTCAGTGGAAGAGACGATGAAGTATCCAGCTGGTAAGCGCAAGGTGGCAGAAAACTTTATAAGAAGAAGACAAAGGGGAAATAGCAAAGACAAAGATAGCTCTTGGTTCGACTGTGGATGCAGAGAAGCAAAAAGAAAAAGAATAGAGGTGTGAAAAAATCTATAGAAAGTGGACAGACGAAAGCAGAAAAGTGAGCAGTTTAACCAGAAACGAAAATGCAAAGATGAGAGGAGAGAGCCTGAACGACAATTTGAGAATGACATAGAAGCAAATGTCAAGTCTGAACCAAAACTACTTCACAGCCACACCAGAATGAAGACAATAATAAAAAAAAACAGGACTTCGACTGAGGAAGGAAGGAGAGCTCATGTAAAACGACAAGAAAATCTTGGAAGTGCTGAACAATCAGTTTAAAGAGGTCTTCTCGGTAGATGGTGCACCAACAAGTACTGGACACCGTACACACAACAGGAAAGGAGATAAAAAGAAAAACGCTTTTGATGGAGCTGGATACATTAAAAGCAATGAGACCTGACAAAGTGTCCCCAGGAGTTCTGCGAGAGGAATAAGGAGAACTATCAGAACCGCTTGCTAAAATCTATTGTAAGTTAATGGACACATTATAGATGCCTGAGATCTAGAAGACAGCAAATGTAGTCCCAATATTTAAGAAAAGAGACAGACAAAAGGCATTTCATGCAAGGTAAGGAGAAGATAATCAGTAAGAGAGTGGTAGAGCATTGGAAAGGAGTGATTTCGTCAACGATTACCAGCCTGGGTTCCAAGATGACAAATCTTGTCTTACCTACTTGCTAGATTTCTGCAACAAAGTAACAGAAATGAGAGAGGAGAGAGAGATGGGGGATTGCCCTTTCTTATTCTGCGAGAAGGAATTTGATACTGTACCTTACAAGAGACTGGGACAAAAACTTAAGTTGCAGGAATAATAGTGAATGTTTTACAGCGGATCAAAGAGTACTTACTATAAGGAAGAAGATTATATACTGCTGCCGAAACGTCCTGTGGACGAAAGAGCAAGGGCATATAGGAACTAGGTCTTTTGTGTATCAATATGCAGAAGTAGATCTGGATTTATATCTACAGTTCCCGTATCTGTTGCAAACAAATTTAGGAAATTTGCTTAATATGTCTGGTATCTTATTCTTATTAATAAGATATCTTGAAATATCACATAGATTAATATACTGTCTATCTCTATATTCCT